TCCACCAAGAGTTGATTGAGTGTGTTTCCCAGCAGAGCCATCTCACACACCGCTGCTCCTACACACCACTATTGCTGTCCTGTCTGAATAGAGCTGTATTTGGGAACTGTGTGGGAGACGGTTGTTACCATTGCACCGTACTGTGTGCACGAGTCTGTGTGCTTTGCCTGCGCAAGACTAACTACTGGGTTATTTACCTGGTATAATGGTTTGACATGGAATGTCACTGATAGTTCACCTAGCAATTCATCATTTACTCACCTGCCTGTTTTAAAGAATGTTTATAATAGATTTGTGAGGATCTGACTGAAATTTAAAGAATCTCTTTGGAGGAGCGAATTAGTACAACTTAAAAATCTGTTTATTTCTCACATAAAGCTAAATGGATTCAGACACCTTGAAATGTAGCAGAAAAGAGTTGTGTTGACTGCTTTAGTGTTTGTTTGTTTTTTGGCAACCACATTAGCTGTGCACTTTCATTGTGTGGAAGACAGTTTCATTGTATGTAATGTTTTGTGTTCCACTAAATTATACATGAAGGTGAGTACATGACAGTGTTATTTTAGTATTTTTTATACAAGTTATACATACAACTGTTCTGAAAAGGAACGCTTATTGGAAATTACCTATAACCGGTTTATAATGTCATTTTATCTTTCTGTTTGGCAGTCAACCAATTAATTCAAATAAAATGGCCTATTCAAATGTGACATTGACGCATCCAATGCGAATAAATGCCCCAATTTTAATTTTTTTTACAGTAAGTTACGCCCCCTTACAATGAGACAGCCAATTAGCACCTCCCTCTAGAACCAATGATGTCAATTGTCAATAGTAAATTTAAGGGTTGTGATAGGTTTTTAGATCTGTATTTGAGCCATTACTATTCAATAATAAAAAAATGCCATTGTATTATTTACATTTTACCAAAATCAAGCTTAAATGAAGTTAGTTTTTTCACCAGCGAATTTGCATTCTTATTGCATTTATATCAATTCACACAGATTACAAATAATCAGTGCAGCTATGAGTTAAACTGATTGTGAAGGGATTGATTTTTTTTTTTTTTTTTATCAAAGACCTGGCTCAGAATGCCTTCGATTGTTTCAGTATAGTAATGATAGCAACATTGATATTTGTGTTGTTTTGAATGAAATCACACTTTCTTGAGCCACAAAATTGCTGATGCATGTTCATTGTGTCAGCACTTTATCGATCAAATACTCATCAGAACCCACTTATACATGGATTTTTCTATACCAAACACTATCTAACCAGCCCTGAAAGCAATCGATATTAGAAATGATTTTCCCAATGGCAGTGCAGGCCTCTGTATTATATTAGTCATAGTTGAACTACCACAGAGGACAGTATACCGTAGATCCCTGTCTGTTGCCGCCAACTGGGCCATTTCTCCCTTGGCCCAATCACAACTGCCGATGAGCTCATAGCGCCCCAGATCCACCTTTACAGACATTTATAGTTTTACAACCGTCTCATCTATTGCTCAGTGTTTACTTTGAGTAACAAGGGAAGCGCGTCAATTTGTTTTATTGGCATTTACAGCTCTACAATCTACATGGCTGTTCAGTTTCTGTGTATTCACTTATCAGCGCCACGGTAACGTAATAGGACTTGTGCTGAGGTGTTTAAAGCAGGGCTGCTGACAGATATTGAGATTGCTCTTTTTTTGTCTGTCACAGAGAAGGCCGAATGTCAGACTGACCGGCTCATTATCTTCACAGACACAGGGTGATGTGGTTGCTGAGAGATGACCGCCGGCTGATAAGTTCTATTCAGGGAGGAAAACACATCCAGAGAGATAGGAAAGCACTGGCAAATTTAGCATATTACTGGAAAAAATACATAATATGTTTTTTTTTCTGACCTTTACTGTTGATTGGTTTTCAAAGTATTTGCCAGATAGAGCTCAATGTGTTTATTTTGACAATTTCAAATCAGGAAATCTGAGTGTATCTTGTGGTGTACCGCAAGGATCAGTCTTGGGTCCAATTTTATTTACTATCTATATTAATAACTTGGGTGATAACATTTCAAAGGCTTATTTCCACATTTATGCTGATGATACCGTTATTTAGGCTGCTATTACACCAAGCTTTTTCTTTAACATTGTTCAGGTACAACTGAATCAGCTTAAACTACGGTAGTTTTGAATTACAGACTGATTTGCAATTGCGAATTCTGATTTCTTTGGTGAAGATTCACAATCTCATCATTTAATGTTGTTTTTGGTATTTTTAATGTTTTTTTTAATAATTATAATCACTAGTATTATGCATGTGTTTTATACTTTTCATATACATTTTTAATCTTTCCATATATATTAATAATCTTTTATAATCATTTTGTTTTATAAATCATACTTTTCTGAATACGTACTGTATGTGGGAGACTTTGGGAGAGTTGGATACAGTGTTTTCCATCGAGCAGAATATACATTCCAACGTTAATTAATGGGAACCACATGTTTCTCTGGTAATGTAGTTAGGTTTTTTTTGTCAGCCTATATGAACTGAATGTTCTTTGTTTAAGTCAGAGAGAGAAATACAGAGAAGCAAGGAAGATCTTTGTGGGTCCATTATTACTCTCTCTCCCAAATTGGCAAAATAAATAAGATATATTGGCAGAATGACTGGTGTCTTTTTCATTAAATTAAATAACAAGGGGAAGCAAAGATTTTAAATCTACATTTGGTGAATTTAAACAATGCATGAAAGTTTTGGAAATAGTTGCCATCAATTGTTGTCACTGTTTTAAAATAACTAAATAGTTTAAACCTATGGCAGGTATTGTACTTTTAGGTAGTCTGATGTTGTTTGTTTCTGAAGGATGTATCTTGAGGATACATTGTGCGTGTGCTTGGTGTTCATATTTGTAACCGTCTGTGCACTGTTAATATGCTGCCACTTTGGCCAGGTCTCTCTTGAAAGGACGTTTTAAATCTCAATGAGATCATCTGGTTAAATAAAGGTTAAATACAATTTGAAAAAAAAAATACTAAATTAGATGAGAATGTGAAAAAAATTGACAAAAAAGAAGAGCAGTGGCATTAGGAATAGCTATTGTAATGAATTTAATGATTGTGTCTCTGTATATTTATGTGTATGCATGTCTATATAACCCAAATCTGTGTGTACAATATATATATATATGATGAAAAGTAAATATACAGTATATATTAAAAATGTTAGGACATGTTTTAACTTTTTATCATATATATATATATATATATATATATAGAAAAAGTGAGGAAAACTCGAGGTGAAAGAGTTCTTGTCGTTGTCAGTTCCGGTTTTTAATTCCTAACCTTAAACATGATCCTTTTCAGGTTTGCGCAGTGAAAGATTTCTCTACAGATCTTTATCGGTGTTGTAGAGCTCCTAAGTACCCTCTGAGATATTATGAATGTGTCTCAATTATAAATATTTGATTATTAATGCAATAACTGGAACCAGACCAATTTCAACAGATTGTACGAGGCAGAACAAAAACGATGGTTTCATGAATTTCCCTCAGGAACATTTTAATCAGCCGTTTTCCAGGGAGGCTCAATTGGTTTCTTAAAGTGTTTTCCCCCAGAATGTAAAGTGGAGGAAACAAGGTCACTGCGAGAGCTGCGGCACCTATTTACATGCTGTCGGTGTTATCCATGTATTCATTTGTAAGCTTACAAGAATTTTAATGTAAAATACTTTTTTTTGTTGCTGTTATCACAACAGTGATGCTTGTTAATCAAGATTATACAGGTAAAGTTTCTGCTGGATAATCCTGTTGAAGCCAAGGTCTGTGTATAGCTTACTTTACATGATTTCTATTTGGTCCAAGAAGGTCATTAGCGGATCCAAGCTGGTTAAGATGGTTGATTAGCTAGAGGAGCAGCCATTGGACCTGTTTTTTTTAACCTGGTTGACCATTTTTAAAACTAGTTTGGGTTAAGCTGGTATGACCGGTTGCATAAACTGCTTTGACTAGTCTTAAAAAATCTTCAAGAAATAACATTTTTTGAGTCAATTAGCCTTTATAATATATAACTGACTTTAAAAAGTTAGAACGTCTTGAAGAAAATGTTTTTAATGACTATCTTTTAAGAATAAAGACTTTTAAGTCTAATGGTAGATTGTCTTAACGACTGGCAGCTGTGTTTCTTCTAGCATTATTTTTTTTGACATTGCAAAAGCAGGTAAACTATACAAACTAGTCATCCATAGTTCAAGAATACAATACAAATAATGTTTTTTGGAAGTCAGTATAAAACATTAAGTGAGCCAATATTGGTATACTGTTTGCCTTCTTTGTATATCATCAGAATATAAAGACTACCTGTATGATTTAGCAAAGAGTCCGTTCCAAAAGGGCAAATCTCATAAAAACATGCCCATGTAACATTTTAATTACAGAAATGACATTCTTTCAGTATAAAAAATATTGATGGTTTTAACTTAAAAAAGTAAGTAACCTGGTTGCCTTAAGATTTTAAGTTCATTGAATTGGAAAAAGTGAGTTAATACAATGAAGGAGAATGATTTAATCATCAAAAACTCAAAATTATATGTTATCTGAACTAAATAAATTATTTAAGTTGATTTGACAAAAGAAAAAAATGTTGTGATTACTACACTGTAAAAAAAATATTGTTGGTTTAACTTAAAAAAGTAAGTAACCTGGGTTGCCTTAAAATTTTAAGTTGATTGAACTGGAAAAAGCGAGTTAATACAATGAAGAAGATTAATTTAATCCTCCGAAACTCAAAATAATAAGTTATCTCAACTAAATAAATTATTATGAAGTTGATTTGACAAGAGAAAATATGTTGTGATAACAAATCTTGAATTTTTTTTTTTGTTTTACAGTGCAGTGAAGCCCCTTTTGGAGGTTTTGCATTTTCAGAGTTTTACACTGTGACATTTTTCACAATAATTATCCAAATAAAATAATAATTGTATAACCGAATAACAGCCTGTGTTCTTCTCTAATTTCAGGCTGTGGTTTAGAGCGCTGTGCTCTGGTAGGTGCTGTCCAAGGTCCTGAACTTCTCTAGCCCAGCTTCACTCTACTACATGCTAACAAGCAGCTCCTGACACCCAGCTCCAGCACTCTTTACACCAACACACAGCTTTCAGCCATGGATGAGGGTTACAGAGATCGTTCGGCCTTTATTAAAGGCGCTAAGGACATTGCCAAAGAAGTCAAAAGGCATGCAGGTAAAAAGGTGGGCCGCCACGTGGACAAGGTGGCTGATGAGTACACCAAACGCTCTTATACTCGCTTCGAAGAGGAAGACGATGACGACGACTACCCCGTACAGGCCCAGGACGGCAGCTACTACCGCAGCAATAGCAGGGCCAATGACGACGAAGGGGCTCACAGTGACTCTACAGAAGGCCACGATGAGGATGACGAGATCTATGAGGGCGAGTACCAGGGCATCCCCAGAAACGACTCGGTGGAAAAGGGTGACAGACAGGTGGACGGAGTGGGACAGTCTCAGTACCGGGACGTAGCGCAGTATGAAGGCGAGAGGAGGAAGGACCAGGAGGAGCTGGCACAGCAGTATGAGACCATCCTTCAGGAGTGTGGCCACGGCCGCTTCCAGTGGACCCTCTACTTTGTACTGGGTCTGGCTCTGATGGCTGACGGCGTGGAGATCTTCGTGGTGGGTTTCGTCCTGCCCAGTGCCGAGAAGGACATGTGTTTGTCTGAGCCCAACAAAGGGATGCTGGGTAAGTCAAGAACAGCTTATTGGCTTTTATTTGTGGTTTTTCCTGGACAGTGCCCATCACCTTTTCCTGCAATCTTTTCCATTATTGATTTTAAGAAAGTTTTTTTTTATTACAATTTTGATTTGAAAACAGCCTTAATGAGGGAAATATCACTGTGTTATAGTTATTATTGGCTCTTTGACACATTGCTTTAGTTTAAGTTATTTTGGATTAAAACTATGGATGAAAACCAAGTTGGGAGCCTACTAAGACAAGATGTAAGATGTTTTTTTTTTCAGTAGGGATGTATAAGACCATATCCAATGGTTACTTTTGCTTGCAAAAAATGGCTTTCTGTGACATGTAAACGATATTTATCTTAAGGCTAGTTTCTACTGCCATTTTGTGCCCAATTCACCATCTGTCAGTCCATCCAGCAAGGACATTGGCCATCCTGGTCGAACCCAACGCAGCATTGACGCAGTTTGAGCTATAATTAACTGACAATAGACACAGTGTGCTTTCATAGCTTATACTGATTCCTGTGGTGTGATACAAATGTTCTAGTAGTGTGTTTGCATGAATAGGGTCATTGAGTACCATGTTACATATCCCCTCCCAAAAGAACAAGGTATTTTGATTAGATCATGTTCACAAACACTGTTTGGTATTTTTAACTGCTGTACTCATGAATGCACATACGTGTTGCTGCTGTTAGACCTTAATCATTATGTTTCTTTTTGTTGTCTCTTTTTTAAATGATATTTTATTGTGACATCATTGAGCTAGTGTGCTCATGTCATTGCTTGTTCATTGATATATTCTGCCTGGGTCTCAGCTTGAGCGTGTGTATGTGTGGAGTGCCATTAGGGAGCAGGGCCCTTGGTCTCTCCCCAGTTACAAAACAGCCCTGACTCATGTAGAAGTGCCATCTGCATCTCTGCTGGGTCCTTGTGCCTAAAGTTTCAATGCATGCGCAGCTGCAGCTCTGCAGCAAAATTGCTTCAGCCTCTGTCACATGACATGCTCCAATCAAATCCAACAGCGTGGATGTGTGGGATGAAATGGCCCACGGAGGTTTTGTTCCTGCTCACTGCACCCAACAGTCAACCTGCATGTTTCAATACTGATGGCTTAAAAAATGAGACCTAGAAGAGGAGACAGTGTAATTTGTTTGTGTAATATGAAAATATCATGAAGAAAACACTTATTATTTATCACGACACTGAAAGTAAATCGCCTCATTAAATGTTCTGACAAATCAGCAGTCAAGGAGATTTTATGGTTTGGATTTGTGTTCATCATTTGGATGGATGGATGGATGGATGGATGGATGGATGGATAGATAGATAGATAGATAGATAGATAGATAGATAGATAGATAGATAGATAGATAGATAGATAGATAGATAGATAGATAGATAGATAGATAGATAGATAGATAGATAGATTGATTGATTGATTGATTTATAGGTAGACATAGAGACAGATGGATGGATGGATGGATGGATGGATAGATGGGTAGATAGATAGATAGATAGATAGATAGATAGATAGATAGATAGATAGATAGATAGATAGATAGATAGATAGATAGATAGATAGATTGATTGATTGATTCATAGGTAGACATAGAGACAGATGGATGGATGGATGGATGGATGGATGGATAGATGGGTAGATAGATAGATAGATAGATAGATAGATAGATAGATAGATAGATAGATAGATAGATAGATATTGATTGACAGATGATGGATAGATAGGTAGATGGATAGATAGGTAGATATTGATTGATTGATAGACAGATGGATAGGTAGATAGATCGACAGATGATAGATAGATAGATAGATAGATAGATAGATAGATAGATAGATAGATAGATAGATAGATAGATAGATAGATAGATAGATAGATAGATAGATAGATTTATAGGTAGACATAGAGACAGATGGATGGATGGATGGATGGATGGATGGATGAATGGATGGATGGATGGATGGATGGATAGATGGGTAGATAGATAGATAGATAGATAGATAGATAGATAGATAGATAGATAGATAGATAGATAGATAGATAGATAGATAGATAGATGGATGGATGGATGGATGGATGGATTGAAGGATGGATGGATGGAAGGATGGATGGATGGATGGGTGGATGGGCGGGCGGGCAGATAGATAGATAGATAGATAGATAGATAGATAGATAGATAGATAGATAGATAGATAGATAGATAGATAGATAGATAGATAGATAGATAGATAGATAGATAGATAGATAGATAGACAGATAGGTAGATAGACGGACAGACAGATCAACAGGTAGATAGATAGACAGATGGATGTTTATATATATTTATAGAGAGAAAGAGAGAAAGAGAGAGAGAGAGAGCTCTCGATAACAGCAGCTTTTATGTCAGAGTTCTTTTGCCCTGTTACCGTGACAACGGGGAGGGTGAAAGGTGACGCCACGTCACTATACCTTTGACAGAGAGCGTTTAGTCTGTTTCTCACCAGAACACCGGGTGCCAAACGGCACATTAGTCTGGGTGAAACTGAACAACAGAATACACAAACCTGCCACAGTCCATTGCGCTCCCCTCATCTGTGACGCAGAGACACACTCGCAGAAAGAAAAAAATTGCACTAAAAATAGTGTCCCGGCCCCTCCCCCGCTTTCTGTCTCTTTTTTCCTCTCTTCCTCCTCAACCCTGGAGCTTGTGTGCTTTCCTGTCACTGTGCGGGAGAATCACAGCCTCCTCTCTCTCCCTTCCCCCTCTCTCTCTCTCTGAGGCGGAGGTCAGCTGTCTCCAGGCACTCCCCTCTCCTGCATCTCTGAGACCCCTCTGACATAATGCAGACGGCCCCGCCCACTCAACCATCACTGAGCCCTAATTCAAACTGGTGTAGCATAAAACACACACACACCTTCCCTTTAAATTCAAGGCATGTGGTTAACCACAATCACAGCTGTTTTTATTAATGCTCTCTGCTGAGTAAGTTGTGTTAAATCGCGCCACACGTGTTCAGTGTTGTCATCTCCATTGTTCAGGACAGGTCTCTCTAGCAAATGTGCTCTGCATCACTGGCTTTGAAGGTCATAAACAGGCCTGTGTGAGAGCAGAAACCACAGAAAGCAGTCGCATTTATACAGTACACATGTTTGTTTATGGAATATGATTGAGAAAATGATCACGCTTTCATCTAGTCTGTCGTTTTTTAGAGAATTTTGTTTGTCCCAATTTAAAATGGCATTTTACACAACAGAACCTTTTTGTGCACTGCAGATTCATAGATAGATCTAGATAGGATCTTCATGTATTAGAGATGGTGCTGCAGATGTTTGAGTTTGTGTGGCAGCTGTCAGCACTGCTTCTCTCTCACCTTGGCCTCATATTAGGCCTCTATGGCCGACAGCCGTGATGATGGGCCGTGATAGGCATCACTGCAATGCAGCGCGGGGGTCTGTTAACTCAACCCCTCCTCTCCTGGGCCCATCGGCTTACACTGCACAAACCACAGCTCTCAACACCTTCTGACTGTGCCCGTGGAGCGCTGTGTCCATTGGGCAATGCATTGGCAGACAGGGGTGTGTACTAAAATGGTACACTGGGATTTAAATTTGACAAGGCCATTCTCTTATTAACAGCTGGAAGTTGTGTATGCAGCCTGGGTTGAATTTGATGATATGACAGATTGGGTAATTGCAAAACAACACAAAAACAATAACATGAACACCATAAGAACCAAATATATTTATTTGACAATTGTGTAAGGTACTTTTAAGGCTTTTAAGATATTTTTTTCTCTTTTAAGAGACTTTATCCTAAGATATATGAAAAACAAACCATATACTGTTTTGTGTGTGTGTATATATACACACAGTATTTTACGGAAGTGTATTGCATTTACTTGAGGAAAAAAATCTACTCTGTTTTTCTGAATTAACGAGTTAATAATCTCAGAATTACAAGATATTTTTTTCATGAAAAAAAATGTTGTTTCTGTTTTTCTGAATTAACAAGTTTATAATCTCAGAATTACGAGATATTTTTTTCATGAAAATGTTTTTTTTTCTGTTTTTCTGAATTAACAAGTTTATAATCTCAGAATTACGATATTTTTTTCATGAAAAAAAGTTTTTTTCAGTTTTTCTGAACCAACGAGTTTATAATCTCAGAATTATGAGATTTTTTTTCATTAAAAAAAGTTGTTTTCTGTTTTTCAGAATAAACAAGTTTATAATCTCAGAATTACAAGATATTTTTTTCATGAAAATGTTTTTTTTCTGTTTTTCTGAATTAACAAGTTTATAATCTCAGAATTACAAGATATTTTTTTCATGAAAAAAAGTTTTTTTCTGTTTTTCTGAACCAACGAGTTTATAATCTCAGAAGAATTACGAGATTTTTTTTCATTAAAAAAAGTTTTTTTCTGTTTTTCTGAATCAACGAGTTTATATCTCAGAATTACGAGATTTTTTTTTCATAAAAAAAGTTTTTTTTCTGTTTTTCTGAATCAACGAGTTTATAATCTCAGAATTACGAGATATTTTTTTCATGAAAAAAAATGTTTTTTCCATTTTTTCTGACTTAACCAATTAATAATCTCAGAATTACGATTTTTTTTTTCTTGAAAAAATAAATGTTTGTTCTGTTTTTCTGAATTAATTAGTTAATAATCTCAGAATTATGAGATACATTTTTCTTGGAAAAAAATGTGTTCTCTATTTTTCTGAATTAACGAGTAAAAAATGTTTTCTGTTTTCTGAATGAATGAGTTAATAATCTCAGAATTACGAGATATTTTTTTCATAAAAAAATAAATGTAACTTTTTTTTTTTTACTGTGTTTATGAATTAATGAATTATGAAATCATTTTGCAATAATTAAGTCATTCATTCAGAAAAACAGAGCAAAAACTTTTTCCCGTGAAAAATGTTGTAATTCTGAAATAATTAACTTGTTTATTCAGAAAAACAGAGTAGATTTTTTTTCCTTAAGTGAATGCAATACACTTCCGTTCTATATTATACATATGGACAGTCTCTTATGCTTAACAAGACTACAGTAAACTGTACAACTTAGAATAACTGTTAATAACTGTTATATGTTAGTATATTTTAATAATGTAATGTAATTTATTCCTGTGATGTCAAAGCTACATTTTCAGCATCTTCAGTGTCACATGATCGTTCAGAAATCATTTTAAGATTTGCTACTCAAGAAACATTTCTTATAATTATCAACTTTCTTTTTAATGTATTTCCATTTTTTATATATTTTGAAATACTAAATATATATTTTATGCTTAATGGAGTGATTTGAGATTCCCATGCGAATCATATAAGGAGGTGAATTTGTACGATCCTGGGTAGTGGGTTCCAATTCATGTCGGATGCTGCCTATATAGGCTGCTAACAGTAAGAGGTTTTGTAACAGAGCCATTGTGTTTAGTTTTTTTTTTTTTTGGATAATTGTGTGCCTAAGTAGCCAACAAGACCCAAGGTGTAAAAAGATGTTAATGCAGTGTTAAATGTAGTGTAAAAAACATAACTGAAATCTCCATTAAGTCTCTTCAGATGTGAAAGGAATATCATTTTCCATGGGTCATTTATATTGTATTCATGCACTGCTTTATCAGTGTCGTGGCAGAACATCCATGCCAGCGGTGCCAGCAGTCTGCGTTCACACGAACAGTCACATGACCAGCTGCTGGTGGAGCTGTGAAAGAGTCGTCATTCAGCAGTCAGTGTGAAATCTCTAAACCAAAGGAAACCTCTCACACGAACAAAAGACTAAATGAATTTGAGCTCTCAGACACAAAACAATGAAAGCATTACATTATATACAAGAAGCAAACTTTGACTTTGAATTGAATTCTAGGTCATGTAGCTCTAGCAACAAGCGCCAGTTCCAGAATGGTCATTTTACCTAACATACTGCTCTGTGGGTCACGTTGATTTACTGTCTGTATGGAGTATCACCATTAGTCATCTTGATCTGATGCGGTATGATTTGGACAGGATGCTGGTACGGTTATTGATCCCCCTGTCTCTCTCGCTCTGTCTGTGTTTCTCTCGCAGGTCTAATTGTGTATCTGGGTATGATGGTGGGTGCCTTTGTGTGGGGAGGTCTGGCTGACAGAATCGGGCGCAGGCAGACTCTTCTGATCTCTCTCTCCATCAACAGTGTCTTTGCTTTCTTCTCCTCCTTTGTCCAAGGATACAGCTCCTTCCTGTTCTGTCGTCTGCTTTCCGGTGTGGGGTAAATGCACTTTTTTTTATATTTATATAAAAAAATGTGTTTAGATATGAGGGTAAGACAAATTTTAAATTTGGGTCTCTTTCAGATAACTTTATAAAAATAAATATGTCATAAAATTAGTTTAAATTAATTATTAAATAATTAAAGTGCATTTTAAAATATCTGTTCTTCCATACATATATATATATATCGATTTGTATTTTATTATTTTTATTTCAAATCTCTTTTTAAGTTTTAATAATATGAGTATTTGTACTTAAATTTGTTCTATTTCAGTTAATAATATTTAAAATTTTCAGTGAAATAAGTGAGCTTATTTCAGCTAACAAAAAAATATTTTTAAAAGTTAGTTTTTCTTACCAGTAACAACTATTTATATATATATATATATATATATATATATATATAATGGACTTATACTTAAATACTTTAATACTTAAATACTTTAATATATATATATATATATATATATATATATATATATATATATATATATATATATATATATGTTTAAATTCATTTATAAGTTTCTATAATTTCTTATATTTACAAATTTTATAGGTGGCGTTTTAAACAAATAATTTATAGAAATATCTTCTAATAATTCTGGAAATTCTCCATATACTGTGTGTATAAGCATGTGTATAAGAACAATGCTAGAAGCTGTTACATTTTTTTGAAAATTTTAATTATACTTACTGAAATTTTTACTAGCTCAATTTAAATTTAGAAATGTATTGCAATGATGTTTGAGGTTTTGATGTTTAATTTTAAATGAGATATTTTCATTTTAAAAATTATGTGTAATATCCTAATATTGGAGTCTCTGTTTCATGCTGTAGGATCGGTGGCTCTATTCCCATCGTGTTCTCATATTACTCTGAGTTTCTGGCTCAAGAGAAGCGTGGTGAGCACTTGAGCTGGCTCTGCATGTTCTGGATGATTGGAGGCATCTACGCTGCTGCCATGGCCTGGGCCATCATTCCCCACTACGGTAACTAGCACTCTTAAATCGTTGGGGTGGTGTACTGTACTGTAGCTTAATGGTTAATTGATCTCAGCTGGTAGCTTGTGGATCCATTAACTCGAGACTGTGCCCTTGAGCAAGACACTTAACCTCAGCTTTCTCTAGAGGAGACTCAACCGGTAACTTAAGATGGAGATGTCACAGAAAGTAAATCCACTAATTATGGTGTCGTGTTGTGCTGGTCAATAAAGATTTTAGGGATGTATGAACAATCCAGAGGTTATAGAAGTTATAAATCTCACCAACTTCTTTTCAGAAGTAGGTCATGATTTTAAATGCCTAGTTGCCATGAATGCTTACCAGAAATGCCACACTAAAAAAAAAAAAAAAAATTGGTAGAGACAATTTTAACTCATGATTTGCCAGTAAATGACACAATTTCAAACAAACACCATGTAATACATTGAATGAAACGTGAAATTATTAGCATGTGGACATTTGATGTTTATAAACCCTATTGACACTTTTTGTTTATTTAAAGACAGGTATAGTTTGTTCAGTAAACCACTGATTGATAAAAAAAAAAAATTGTTACTTGAAAACCAAGTTACGTACCGAATCTTCCGATCATAGTTTTTATGAACACCCCATATGAAACAGTTTTATTGTAAAACTAACTCAAGTCTTTGTCTTATTAAAAACATTGAACAAGTATTTTTTTAAGTGCATCTCAAATTGTCATAAAAGTTTCCTAACTAAGCCTAAACATTGTAAAAACTAATATGGCTTGATGCACTAACTGTGCCAGGGTTAGCTTGGGTCATGAATAGGAATTTAATTATAGTATATGTAAATATGACAATAAGTCCATTGTATCAAATTATTAATTTCAATGTAAGTATATAGCACTTAAAGCCACTTAATGTAAAGTGGGACCAATAATGAGCTATTTTGTACAGCAGCAGCATGTCTTACTTGCTCACAGCAACGTGTTGTCTATGTATTGGCAGTAGCATTGTCAAACACTCCCAAGTTTTCATGACAGAAATTATTTCCCTTAATAAATGGCCTTTTCTTTAAACTAGGCTGGAGCTTCCAGATGGGATCAGCCTACCAGTTTCATAGCTGGCGAGTGTTTGTGCTGGTGTGTGCGTTTCCCTCCGTCGCTGCTATCGCTGCGCTGACCACCATGCCAGAGAGCCCACGCTTCTTCTTGGAGGTTAGTGACGTCCCACATCTTGGCTTTGACCAGTGTTTTTTTGGCTAATTCTGTAGGTAAAACTTGCAGAATGAGCTACTAATCAAAGATGACTTGCATTGTGTGTGTTTTACCAGAACGGGAAACATGATGAAGCTTGGATGATTCTGAAGCAGGTCCATGACACCAACATGAGGGCTAAGGGATACCCCGAGAGGGTTTTCTCTGTGAGTACAGCCAGATTCATCCCTCATTCCTTCCAGGAGAACAATAACATTAGGACAGAAGTGATTCATGGGAATTTTATTTTCTCAATATGAATTGGAAATTAATTATGCAGTCACATGCTAATAGGTTTCCATTAAATGGCTGAGCTGGGACTGGCTTTCATGCACATTTAATCAAGGCCAATAAAGTTATTATTTACATGTAAATTATGCAAACATGTTTCATGTGATATTTTGGGATATCCTATAACAATAATTAGCATTGTAAATCTTAATTATACTCTTCTCACCTCTCACTGATAAGTAGTTTTATAGGAATATTGTGGGCAAAATAATGGGCCAATCAAAAAATGGCAGAGGTCTTTTACCATTTTGTTTACAAATCACTGGTCAGAAAATAAGCAAGAATTGCACAAATACTGTTGATTAAGTAATTTAGCACAGAATACCCTTTCATTAACTTGCAGACAGCTTTTAACAGGAAGAAGAGTCAGAGTTGTTCCACTCAATGTTAATGGCTTCAAAAAGTTCATGAGTAGTTGAAAAAAGACCAAATATTCGCAGTAGGACTCAAACCTGGACTCGGACCAGGCCAAAACAACAGCCTGCTGGACCTGTTCTCAAGACATTTCTTGGGTGTCTTTGTAACATTGTCTTGTTGAACAATAATATCAGATGATTCCTCATTTGTGGGAAGCAAGCCATTCTGCAATATTCTCCAAAGCATTCAATGACTTGTCACAGTGAAGCATCTCACCAACACCAGCAGTTAAAAGGCTCCCCATACTATGACACCATGCTTCACTGTGGAAGAGATGCATTTATTATTATATTTCTCATCAGATTTTCAAAGACACCTCATGTTTCATTATGATTCATCACTCAACCCGTAACCCGTAAGGAAGGAGCCCGGCTGACCAAAGATTTCATTCAGTCTTTATTTTCTGAGACAGTTTTTATGCTTTTACATTTCGCATTTTTGCCCAGGAGTGTGTATTATATATACAGTAGGCTATTCATGTAGATTACTATCAATTAAGCACACAAACTTATCAGTAAAGTATCAAGGCACTTTTTCAAGCATGCTGTGAAATCCCCAGGTCACCACCATTAAGACGGTGAAACAGATGGATGAGTTGGTTGACATGGGTGGAGAGGCCACAGCCTGGCACCAGCGCTGGAGGATCAAGCTGACCAATCTCTTCCACCAGGTAGAGTACGACAAACACTGACAAAGTCATGAAAAAGACTACCACTATATGAAACTGTACTTTGAAATGTACTACACTTTTTTTTTTTTTTTTTTTATCTTTATTTAATAAGAAATACACTTTACAGACAGAAACTACATGCTTATACATTCATCCTCACATTCATACCCCAGAACATACATGAGAAAAGATAGACACACTTTACAAATATATTACGACAGAAGAATAAATATGATATGAAAAAGATCGGAAAAACTACAAAATTTCATATAATTATAATATACATAGAATATTACTCCATTTTTTATTATATCCATTCATTCTATTTTTACTTTCTGCTATTATCTTTTCCAAACGAAGATGTGACCTTATAACATTCTTAAAGTGATCTAAACAAATAAAAAATTAAAAATAAATTTTCCCTATTAATAAAATGGTATTTAACAAAAGAAAACTACCTGTACTACACTTTTGTACCATTTTATTTTATATCATTCAAAGTTTCTTGCACCAAAAAGTCATTTCATTGTACAAAACCATTTTTAACCCTTTGTGCACTACCGTTCAAACGTTGTTGTTTTTTTTTTTTTTTTTTTTAATGAAATTCATATTTATATTCCTCGAAGATGCATTCAATTGATCAAAAGTAGCAGTAAAGACATTCATAATGTTACAAAAGATTTCTATTTAAAATAAATCCTGTTCTTTTGAATTCTGAAGAAAATGTATCCACAAAAATATCAAACAGGACCAGGTATATTATTGTTAACCTAATCTAAAGATATTAAAAACATTTTATTTTATTTTATTTTTTATTTGTTTGCACCAATTGCACCAGAGTTACCTAATAGCAAATTTGCATCTGTTGTCCCTGGGCAGGTAGACAAAACATAACAAAAGACACAAAGCAACCACTAAAACAACAAATGCACTACATAAATTTGCAAATGACATTTTATCCATCAATTTAAATTGATAAAAAACATTTTGATAAATACACCAGATACAGAATACAGAAAATGCAATGCAATAATTAATGGCGACACTCTTGTGCTGATTTTAGATCAATTTTGAGGCTGGTTTTAAATACTGCAAAACTTCCTGAGTTTCTAATGTTAGCGGGTATTGAATTCCACTTCCCCCACTACTTTAACGGACTAGGCAGATTGACCAAAGGTTGACTTTCTAAAAGGCGGTACCAAATCACCCCTAGTTGATGCTCTAGTTTTACCGGCACTGCCACTGCCAGGAAAAACTATGCATCCTCTAAGAGGAGGGGGTGCAAGTTCATGAACAACTTTAAACAATTTTAATTGAATTAAAGGTAAAATAAAAAACAATATTTGATGAAAACCTGAATAAAAGTTTTAAGTTGAAGCACTAAAATTACTAACAGGAAATAAATAAAAACTAAAACTGAACTAATAATAAAATCAACCATATAATGAATTAAATAAATACAATTAAATGTAAATAGTATTATTTGAAAAGAACAAAACTAATCAAATGACAAATACCGAACAGGCCTTGATATATAAATGTGGATAGTCATAAATTGCTTATGTAATTATGATGTTGTTACTGTGGCGATTCTGATTGACACACATTTGCAGCTTAGTTTCCATAAATAGTAAATGTTGAAGTGTGTCTACATACAGCGAGAAAAATATGTGTAGGATTTACTTGTTTATGAACAATATTCATTCATATAAATTTCTAGTAAATTTTTCACAAATAATAAATTACAAAGAAAAGGTAAGGAACACATCAGATTAAATGTGACATTTTGAAGTAGAAAGACTGAAATAGTACTGTCTTGTGAAATAATAATCTATAATGAATAATTTTTTCCAGGTGTGGAGCAACTTCTTGACGGTGTTTAATCCAGAGTACCGGAGGATCACCTACATGATGATGGCCGTGTGGTTTTCCATGTCCTTCAGGTGAACCACACCGAACTTTTCCAGACCATCTAATGATTTGTCCATCTGCATTGTTTCATGGCTTGTTTGCTCTCTGCCTCCAGCTACTATGGGTTGACCGTTTGGTTCCCTGACATGATCAAATACCTGCAGAAGCAAGAGTACTCCTCACGCACAAAGGTCTTCATCAAAGAGAAAGTGGAGCATGTGACCTTTAACTTCACCCTGGAGAACCAGATCCACCGGAATGGAGAGTACTTCAACAACAAGTAAGGGGCAGTATGCCGAACATATTTCAGTAAATAGAGCTGACCTTTCTATGAAAGGTGAATTGTGTTGTGACATTCTGCTTGGAATATTCCAGATCAAACACAATTTAAGTGTGATAGAACGGCTTAACAACCATGAGTGTCTTTTGAACATGCTTCTATTTTTTATTTTATTTTTTTGGAAGAATGACACTTGGATGGTGAAAATAATAGTACAAGAAATATTTAAATGTCTCACGCAATATTATCTCTGGTCCAAGTCAGCTGACTACCGAGACAGCATTTTAAAACATCATATACTCTATGTGAAGACGACTTCTTTTGGGCCAAAATATGTTTTTTTTTTTTTAAATTTATATACTATTATTGTTTTAATCAATTTGTAAGGAATAAATTGACGACGGGCCATTGAATTATTAGAAAAACAATGCACACTCGAGGTGTAACATTACCACCTCAGGTGTGCACTATTTTTCGAATAATTCAACAGCCCGCAGTCAATTATTCCGCTTATACAATGGTTACCACACCTCAAAACATTCAGATGATGTATTTCAAGACGTTTGTCAAGTTTTTGTCCTTAAAACACCCTTCTGTGTAGGACTGATTTTTTATCCATCTAATCCCAAGGCCCTGTTGCTAATTCAAAAACGTCACTTCACAGCTAGTAACGGAGGCTTGAGCCATTGATAGCAAACTGATGCAGTTATTAGATGAAGAGAGAGAGAGATTAAGCGTGTATGAATCACCTAAGTCTGTTCATCTCTCAACAGTATTCGGCAAAACCTGCCTGGATCTACTTTAGCCGTGCGTTTCCCTGAAAATAAACGCTCGTCAACCAATCAGATTCAAGCATTAAACAGCCCCGTAGTATAATTAATGTTTATTGCATTACTATAGTGTCGTGATGGTGTTTAGTATTTGTATGAAGGACACCTTTTACATATCAGTACTTACCTTCTGTGATGAGCTTTGATTCTTCATGTGACTTTCTCATCACAATCTGTTTTTGGTGGTTTTCAGTATATTACAAAAGTCCAAAACAGATATTAGAATAGGTTGTTAATATTAACACTATATCAGTTATTGAAATATGTTTTTGTTTACTTTAAGGTAATTTGTTCAATCTGTAAAACATTAAATGTTATTACCATATTTTTATGGTACATTTCTGGCAATCACAGCTGCCTTTTTTATTTGGAGCACTTTGTGAAAGCTAAATGAAAAATCTGCAGTGTTGTGCCTGAACGCGTTCATATTTTGGGCGAACGGGAACTGAACGTACTATATACTGCCCGATGAACGTTACATTCTGGTGACTGTGAACGTACGCTCTCTCAGTTTAACTTCGTACAATAGGGTGCCAGATTTCTATAGAGCCTTCCAGGCTAAAACGCACGTAAACAAGCCTTAAACTGTAGCGGAAAAAAACAAACAAGGTGGTTAAGTTTCGGTATTGAGTAGGATATGGTCATGCAGAGTAAGGCATTAATATGTGCTTTATAAGTACTGATAAACAGCCAGTAATATGCATGCTAATAAGCAACTAGTTAATAGTAAAAATTGGACCCTAAACTACTAATGTGTTACCAAATTTCTAAGTGGATCTTTTCTCTTTGCTATTAAAGGTTCTTGAATCTGAAGATGAAGTCTATGGTGTTTGAAGACTCCATGTTTGAGGAATGCTACTTTGAGGATATCACGTCAAGCAACACCTTCTTCAGAAACTGCACCTTTATCTCCACCCTTTTCTACAACACTGGTGAGAACACTGCTATAAACAAATATAGCACTGCTGTTGAATGTTTTTGAATGTGACCGACACATTCAGACGTATAAATTATTTGGATTCAAGCCGTAGGCATTCAAAACTATGATCCTTTGTAAGAAGACACTCATGTGACATGTTTTGCTACGGTTAAAATGGCCTCAGGTTTTAGAGCTATTGAAGGCATTTCAGGTATCCTAGCAACACCAGCTCAGATTCTTCCTCTGCTTGTCCGACAATCTGCTTTACCTGAATCAGTCGTACTGGGCGTTTATGATTGTTTCTCTGAGCAGCTTGCGGATGAATGATGAAACTTAAAAACAAAAGCTTTGAGTCTGTTCCAAAAAAAGTAATCTGCTTTTAACTTTTATATTTATGCATTTGCAAACACTTTTGCTTAAAGCAATTTTCATTGCATTTGAGGTGTATTTTATCAGTTCCTGATATCTCCATCATTTTGCTGTTCCAAAAGGTAGGCAAATCCCAGAATGTATTGCAATAAGCTTAATGAATACATTAATTCAATATGGCAATGAAGTGAGAGACTACGTCCTGGTTTCACAGACAGGTCTTGGATTAAGCCAGGATTAGGTCTTAGTTAAATAAGGATACTTAAGTAGTTTATATATACATTCCTTAGAAAAACACATTACTGGTGTGCATCTTAAGATATGTCAGTGAAAGTTGCTTTCAGTTAAGGCAGCTCAAACATGCATTTTAGTCTGTGACTAGACTTAAAGGAGTAGTTCACTTTTAAAAAAACTTTTGCTGATAAATTACTCACCCCAATGTCATCCAAGATGTCCATGTCTTTCTTTCCTCAGTCGAAAAGAAATTAAGGTTTTTGATGAAAACATTCCAGGATTTTTCTCCTTATAATGGACCTCAATGGGAACCAGGTCCAACCGAGGTCCAAACGACAGTTATAACAGTTACAGATGCAGCTTCAAATGTCTTTAAACGACACCAAACGATGAATAAGGGTCTTATCATGCGAAACGATCGGTTATTTCAAAGCTTATTCCAAAAATGTAACTTTTCTAAGGACAAATGCTAGCCTTGTAATATATTGTGAGGCACGTTTGCAACGTCACGTAATACGTAATTACGTTCAAAAGGTCACGGGTGACGTGGCCGTAAGTACAGAATCAAAATCGTCCGACATCGTTGTTTTACCTTTTAATTCCTTTTTTGTAAACGGCGTTTGAGTTAGTTTTCACGTTCAACCTATGCGTTCAACTTGTAAACACTCTGACTCTGTACTTCTGGCTACGTCACCCGTGACCTTTTGAACGTAATTACGTATTACGTGACGTTGCAAACGCGCCTCACAGAATGGAGACAGGCTAACATTTGTCCTTAGAAAAGTTACATTTTTGGAATAAGCATTGAAATAACCGATCGTTTCGCATGATAAGACCCTTATTCATCGTCTGGTGTCGTTTAAAGACATTTGAAGCTGCATCTGTAACTGTTATAACTGTCGTTTGGACCTCGGTTGGACCTGGTTCCCATGGAAGTCCATTATAAGGAGAAAAATCCTGGAATGTTTTCATCAAAAACCTTAATTTCTTTTCGACTGAGGAAAGAAAGACATGGACATCTTGGATGACATGGGGGTGAGTAAATTATCAGCAAAAGTTTTTTCAAAAGTGAACTAATCCTTTAAAGGGATAGTTAACCCAAAAATGAAAATTAGCCCATGATTTACTCACCCTCAAGCCATCCTAGGTGTATATGACATTCTTCCTTCAGATGAATACAATCAGAGTTATAAAAATGTCCTGGCTCTTCCAAGCTTTATAACGGCAGTGTATCTATTATCCATTATGCGGATTGACAACAGAACCGGAAGACAATACAATGCTGAATAAAGTCGTAGTTTTTGTTATTTTTGGACCAAAATGTATTTTCGATGCTTCAAAACATTGTAACTAACCCACTGATGTCACATGGACTACTTTAATAATGTCTTTATTTCCTTTCTGGACAAGGACAGTATACCGTACAACCATTTTCAATGGAGGGACAGAAAGGGTGAACTAACCCTTTAATACCAGGAGTAAACAGGGCCAGAAATAGGGCTGTCAAACGATTAATCGCATCCAAAATAAAAGTTTGTGTTTACATAATATATGTGGGTGCACTGTGTATAATTATTTTGTATATGTATATATATATATATATATATATATAAATAGACACACATGCATGTATAAATAAGAAAAAATATATTATTTATATATAAATTATATATAAATCTATATACAGTATATACATGAAAATATTTCTTAAATATATACAAGCATGTATGTGTATATTTATATATATAAAATAATTATACACAGTGCACCCACATATATTATGTAAACACAAACTTTTATTTTGGATGCGATTAATCGCGATTAATCGTTTGACAGCCCTAGCCAGAAATGTTGTTGTCTTCTAAGCCCTCTAAGTAGCCAGTCCCTCCAGAAAAACGCGATTATGCGATCGCTGAATTCAATGCAAAATCAGCCAAGGTCCGCATATTTATGCGGGGGCCGCATTTTTTCAAATACGCCGCACTTTCGCCGCATAAGTTGCCGATTTCCGTGCAAAATATGCGGGGTTTGCATAATTTCATAATCCTCGCATTTTCGTTGCAAAAAAAGTCACATGTATCTTAGCAGAAAGTTGAAAAATGTTGCGTTTGCTTCACACAAGAGCAGCCATTTCCCCCTGTTTCCATGGGAACGTTATGAAGTGACCCAATTACGCGACGCCAGACAGACTCGCGGAGGCGATTGACATCACAAATCGAACTCTTATAACTGTCTGACGTATAACACACGTTCTACCGTCACATCGTTACTTAATAAACAACATAATATAAAAGAAGTAGCATCAAACAGAAATTAGCCGCACACATGGGGTGTTCGAGGCGCACATATAACACTGCAGAGAGTTCAACAGGAGCGCGCAGCTCTTAAAGGGGCCAAACCTTATTTACACTCGTTACAGTCTGAAATAAAACAAGATGGGAAATTAAATATTCCCAGCACTTTCTATGATGTAGTATGCTTGCTTATCAAAGGAAGTAATAAGAAATGACTCTTACATTAGCCTAGTGAGAACAGGATGTTGGGGGAATCACTTTTTTTCTCTTTTTCATCAAACCGCAATTTTTGCAAGTTCCCTCAATTTTTGCAAATTCCTGCAATTTCATCGCATAAAATTGCATAAATATCCCGCATATTCCATCGCATTTTTAAAGAAAACGGGCCACGTAATCAATCAATTTTTGCCAGCAACAATCACACAAAAAAAACTCAGCGTTTTTCTGGAAGGACTAAATACTATTATGGTAAATGTTATATATAAATCGCAAATTTTTTCACAAATTTTTGGAAATTACCACCACAAAATCAGTCATTTTGATCGCAAAAATCACAAAAAAAAATCGTGAAATCCTGGTGGGACTGAGTAGCTCAATGGTTTAGAACACATGCATAAAGATGCCATCTATCTACCGATTATCTACTATCTACTCTATGATACTGATTACAGCGGTCTGACCTAGAAGCGTTTATGTAAACTGTTGTGAAGGATTAGCTGCTGTTTTGGTTAACAAGAGCCCTCATCTGTTTTTAGACCTATTCAAGTACCGGCTGATCAACAGCAAACTCATCAACAGCACCTTTCTGCATAACAAAGAGGGTTGCATGCTGGATTTCAGCGATGAGAACAACGCCTACATGATCTATTTCGTCAGCTTCCTTGGCACACTTGCTGTCCTGCCTGGGAACATTGTGTCTGCTTTGCTTATGGACAAGATCGGACGTCTAAGAATGCTGGGTAAAAAATAAAAAAACACATTTTAGGGCTTTGAAAATGAGGCCATTTAACTTGAACTTGTTCTCACTCTCCTCTGGTGCAGCGGGTTCCAGTGTGATTTCCTGCGTCAGCTGCTTCTTCCTGTCATTCGGAAACAGCGAATCCGCTATGATTGCCTTGCTCTGTCTATTTGGGGGCATCAGCATTGCATCATGGAATGCCCTGGATGTACTAACGGTGGAGCTGTACCCCTCGGACAAGAGGTGGGCCAAGTTCATATTTCTGTGATTACTGCATCTACCACAATTGCCACTTTTCTCTCTGCATTGTATTAATACAATGACCTCAGTAAGTATTTGGACACTTGCATTTTACGCCACACTTTAATCGTCATGGAATTAGATAAAAACACGTTTCTCTTCTCCTTTTAATTTCTTTTTTTATTATTATACTAAAAGAAAATGATTAGAAACATGAATAGATCAAACGTATGTCAGCAATTTTGTGCTGCATTGCCACTGCAGTGCAGATCAAATACATTATAATTTAGGGGATATCTAAAAATTCTCAGTCAAAATGAATGAAGTCTCAGTGCTTCCTTATGCATTATTTCTAAGAAAATATGTTGACAGTGCCTGATCAAAAATGTGTGCTCTTTAGCACCTCTAAGAGGACATTTACTGAACAAACATTAGATTTCAGAAATTTTTTGAGATGGATTGATGATTGATTTGATCGATCATTGATTGATTCATTGATTGGTTGATTGATAGACAGACAGATCATCCCCAAATGGTAGTGTGGATACTATATAGATAGATAGAAGGACGAACATATAGATGGATAGATTTAATACAAGTATATTGGATCCATCATTTTCTTTCTTAAAGACAGAAAATCGACCATTGATACGTCACTTATGCTCTCTTTGTTCTTGTTTTTATCAGTAACTAGTTTTGATTGTATTACGTGATAATTTAACATGTCATTTGTGTTTGTGTTATGTACGCATCTACGCAGGGTGCGATTTGTGAAAAAAACAGAGGGGGGGATGTTTTGAAAAAAAAAATTCATAAAAAAATTCATGAACTTCATCACTGCATTTGCAGGAAAAAAAAAAATCCTAATAACTCATGAAGTATCCTAACACAATTTTTAATAGCTTCCCACACATATATGAACTGTAATCATGCACAAAAAACATGCAAGAATTAAATCAATAGATTAATAGGGTAACGTTAGAGGCTAATTTATATCAGCCTCTCCTGAACCAGGGATTGATTGCAAAGTTAAACCATAATAGAAACAGTTTTACTGCTGCTGTTACGTTAAAGTTATAATGTTAACGTTACATCGCGATGCTGAGCTACAGTGAAATGATAGAAAAGACGGATGCATCATCTATGTTTGTTAATTCGCCTCATTTGCGCCGCAGAACCTCTAGACGCGCGTAAACGCGTCTTTACATTGAATTAACATTGAAATCACTCGCGCCAGATGTTCAAGAGTGAGTGACAAAAACCTTTGCTTTAGTCTCAGTTGAGTGAAACACCGGGTCCGTGTGTATAACTTCGGCCATTCTCAGTGACTGGACACTAGCTCTGCTTGTCATCATAGAAACAGACAATCAGATTGTGATGTTTATTCTGAATAGCTATGCTGCCTTCATTTCTACAAGCAGCTCCACAGCCCAGCGCAGACCTGCAACCATCTCGCAAGTGTTGATAGGCTATTATACGAGGTGTAACCAATCAGATAGCGCCGTGGGCGGGACATTTAGCAAGTCTGAGAGCCAGCCAAAGTAGCGCATTTAAAACTAAAATTAACTTTAATCAAAGCACGGATCCTTGATAAGTTTTTTGATCCGTCTCACCACTAGTGTAGGATCACTGATCACACTGAGGGGGGGATAAATTTATCCCCACCGGGGATAAAAATAATTAAGCAGAGGCAGGGATCCATTGACCAGAAAGGGGGAAATCCCACGCATCCCCCCCGGCAATTCGCACCCTGCATCTACGGTGGAAACAAATTTCCTGTTAAGGACAAAAAAAATCAGATAAACAGATCTAATGGATGTCATTTCTAATCTTCATCTCCCTTTTTTCAGAACTACAGCCTTCGGGTTTCTGAACGCCTTGTGTAAGTTAGCAGCAGTCCTGGGCATCAGCATCTTCCAGTCGTTCGTGGGCATCACTAAAGCGGTGCCCATCCTCTTCGCGTCGGGGGCTTTGGCGGTGGGAAGCTTCTTGGCTCTCAAGCTCCCCGAGACTCGCGGTCAGGTGCTTCAATAGTGCGGTATTCAGCGTTTGAGTAGGGAATGCCCGACTTTGTCGCCCCCAAACCCAGTCCGTGAGTGAGCAATGCTGGAAGCAGCCAAAACAAACCCCACATTTACAGATATCTTCATTCCTCCAATATGTGCAATTACATTATTTCATTTGAATTTCCTTTCATTCAAATCTACATGTATAAATATGTTCCCTGCTGATATCTCATTTTCTCACAGGAATATTGTGTGTGTGTGTGTAGAAAAACTGCCATGTTAAACACATTCCAGATTTGCGTTATGGTACGAATGTGAAATTTAACATGTTCATTTTGACTTTCCCTTTAATCTTCATCCAAGCCATCACGCGGTTTGAAAACCATCACCGAGGACCCGTGAAATCAGTAGATAGTTATATTTGAATGGACAGTGTTGATCTAGTGGTGCTGGTGATGGTTATTGATGTTGCTTTACTCTAGTCCTTTGTGTCCCGAGAAGTGTGTGACGCCACAATTGTCTGCTCTATCGGCTCAAGCACTCCTCACCTTTTAGATGTTTTACAGCATAAATGCTAACATTACATAACTATAGACAGTGTATCATTGGTTCACTCATTTTTTGTTGTACTCCATCTGACGAATTCGGTTGTTCTTTCAAAATGTCTGATATTGACAGTGTTGTGCATGCAATGAAGCGCGACACGCTTGAAGATAACTGATAACTGACAGTGCTGTGTATTACACTTCTCTACCCATGATTCTTTGGACATTATGTAAAATATGAGAGTGACTTAGTATGGTTTAGTAAGCCATTATTCATATTTTCCAGAGCAGTTTCAGTTTTGAATGTGCGCAAACATTGAGACGAACCTTACATTCGCCCCGTTCATCCATTGAACACGTGAAAAAAACGTAAAAAAAATAATAATAAAATGAAGCACAAAGTGATCTGATTAAAAACAATAGGTTTATTTTGATGATTATGTAAATTATGTATTGAATATAAATATATACAAATTAGCTGTAATTCAAGTCTGTCTGTTTGAACACTCAAAAACTATTATTAAATATACAAACATATATATATAAATATATATATATAAGAAAAATATGTACATGTTCAGATGTTGAACTAGTATCAACATAATGTCTTAGATAGATTCCATGTGATGTATGTATATACAGGTTTTCTGTTCATTAAGGAATTTAATTTTTTTTATCAAAGCAAATATATATATATAAAAAAAAAAAATGTCCACTGATTTGCAGCACACACAAACGCCCTCTTTCATGTTTTCTCTTGTGTTCTTGTAAAGAAACAGAGGTATCCGTCTGTATGTGGGTGTGTGTGTGTAAAGTATGGAAGTACGTGTGCTTGCATGTGAAATGTTGAGTGTTCTCTGAATATTTGTATTTATTTATATAACTGTTTATGAGAGTTTGATTTTATAGTATTTTTTACTTTGAGTATCTGTAGAGGCAGATGTAGTGCCACATGCAGGGTGATTTTTTTTTTTTGCTGTATCATTGTTGACCTGATGTTCAATTTTTGGTGACTTGGTAGCAGTAACTGAATATAGCATCAAAAAGAGGCGAAAGTCAAAACTCAATGGATTTTAAAAACAATGTGTTGTAACGTTTGACGGGAAGCAAAAACCATGGATATCCCATTAGGACAACTCGTCCAACTTGCTACATTTTACCAAGCACAAGTATCATGGAAAAATGGTTTAATTACCAGATATTTAAGCAAAAAAAAAATGTTTAAAGACAAAACCCACTCGGCTGGAAGCTATATTTCAGCCATGTTCCTTTTAAACACAGCCAGCGCTTACACAACAACAGTTTTTAGTGTCATTCAACATTCTTTACTGCCATTTTGTAGGATAGCAGCCATATTATGTGCTCAGAGTAGACAACCAACAACCAATTTTTAGATTTAACAATCACCAAAGTGGTTATCAAACACAAACTATTCATTTTAGGCACAAATGTAACTTTTAAGCACTTAAAATGTTTATTAAAGCGCTTAAATTGGCATTGCGCGGTGCCACGCATCACATAATTTTAAAACGAACTGTCGTAGAAACTGCCACCCCTGCCGTGACCTTTGGTCACCAGTAGTGTCACAGATGCTGTAGTGACAATCTGTATGTGTGCCATGTGTGACCGTGCGCATCTTTAATTGCCAAATCTTTTCTACTTCCTCAGTTTGTACTGGCAGATCTCTCATCACGGCAGACTAAACATGATTTGTAATAAATTGACGTTCTAGCAGGGTGTGGTGATATAAGTAAGCGAATAAAGACAGAATATGAAAAACAAAACAAGGCTTAGAGGTGGGCGATATGACCAAAACGTTACATCATGTTACGAGTTATTTTATTTCGCGATAACGATATCACAATATAGCCTTGATTGAAATTTCATAATTCTTGTCGCCATTCATTAAAAAAATGTATACTAGCCTAAGTAAAAAAAAAAACAGCAACTCTCAAGCTTACTAAAGACAAGTTAACAGTGACAAAGAAACTAATTACAGGCATATAGGAAAACAAAATAGCTGAAAAACGTCAAGCACTAGAAATAAAAAATTGTAAATAAATTGAATTATTGTAAAAGTAATCAAACGTAAAAAAAAAATCGGTGCACAGTCTTCACTGTGTAAATTAGTGCTGGCAAACGATTAAAATATTTATTTATTTATTTAATCGCATTAATGTCATACTTAACTCGCGATTAATCGCAATTAATCTTTAAAATGGGTTTGAATGGGCCGTTAAAATGGGTTTGCATTAACGCCGTTAATAACGCGTTTAACTGACAGCCCTAAATTAAATATATTTTTTTTTCTTATTAAACTTACAAAAGTTATTCAGCCTTTTTTGTTGTTTGATTAACAATAATAACGACTATAATTATATAGTATAACAATTATAACGATAATAATACTCGTGCGTTTTCTTTCTCAACTGTTCACGTTCACTTAAGACAATGAATAAATGACTGTTTACTTGCTAAGACATCGTCACTTTGACGCATAAATATGTGTATTTAACCGTCCAAGCCCAGTTAGTCGGCAAACATCACTTTTTGTCGGGAAAAAACGGCTTTATGTGAGGAACAGCTCACTGCGCTTTAACGGTTTAACATCACTAGTTTTTAAACAGCAATACTTAAGAATGCATGCCAATGACTGCATAGCACAGCAACGTCACAACCGCGATAGACGACGATAGCCCAAAATCTCCGGTTGACAAATTTCTACCGGTCTACCGGTGTATCGCCCACCCCTAACAAGGCTTATATCTCTCAATCAGGTGTTTTACGCACTTAATGCTCGTGCAAACGGTCAAAATAAGCCGGAAGCTGGTTACAATTAGAGAATGCTTGAAAAATATAACTATTAAAGATTTTGTTTGTCAGTGAACTGTATGTACGCACAACCAATCGTTTGTTAATATAGAACTTATTTGATGTCACCATTTCCAAACAGTCCTGCAGTTTGTAGCCCTCCAAATGGTCACATCTCTTAATGTGTCGCTGTTGTTCCCTTCATTGAATTACGTCATATTTGCTGTCGTATGCTGTGAATTACAGTAACTAATCTCAGTGAAGCAGTGACTTATCTCTGTGTACAAGCAGTCCTGGATTTGGTGCACATCATCACTTAGGATTGTGTACTGGTTGCAAGACATATGGGTTTTGTTACAGGGTCTTTTGTATTTCTAAACGTGCTCAATTAGCAACAACCAATCTTGTGTGCAAAAAGAAATCAAAGCAATAAGTGGTAAACATGTTCGCTCTGCCCCCAAATTTTGGGCAAGAAAGCACACTAACCCCCGGTTTCACAGACGAGGCTTAAGCTAGTCACAGACTAAAATGCTGATCTGAAAGCAACTTCAAATATGTCAGTGCCACTGTTTTGACTCAAGATGCACTCCAGTAAAGTTCGTTTCCCCAAAGGCTCATTTATAAAAGCTGTCCTAATTGAACTAAGACCTAATCCTGGCTTAATTTAAGCCATGTCTGTGAAACCGGGCCTAAAATGTCCGCTGGCCATATTTGATGAAACAGCAGCTGAAAGAAAACAGGCCAACATCCGTGTACTCTACAAATATACCATAGGTCTTCTGATGCTTTTGTCAGTTTCAGTGTATTACCATAATTTAAATGTGACAGAGAGTTTATCACCTTATCATTGTACTGTGCTGTAGAGATTGTAGATGTTTGTATGTAAATGAATAAATATGTGGAATAATAAAAACAAAAAAGATAAAAAATGTTGAACATGAGAAATAGAGTACTACTGTATGTTGTTCATTTTGTGATTTGTTTTTTTGTACATGAGAATGGAAATGTTGACATTATCGCTGAATATAGATTCCATCCTTACCAAAATGGTTCTGTATTACAGTTTGTGAGAGATTTGCTTTTGATTTTTTTTTGTTTTTTGACTCGTATTCAGGGGGTTGGACTGCGCTTGTGCAGTTAAAACTGTCCCTCGGTGGATTTAAAACGTACATACGAATAATAAACAAATGGTATATTGCTTGAATAGATTATTTGAGTTCTTGACGCACCACATAGACAAACTTTATTTTCATACTAAACTAAAAATCTGTATTACTCACCCTCATGTCATTCCAGACTCGTACAGTAGAACACAAACCTATATGCTTTGCAGAAGTCCATATGAATGAAAATGGACCCTTTTCACTGACTGATGACGTTTTGATAGTCCTCAGCATCGTAAATCCTGCAAAGTTAAAAAAAAAAATGTATGTACATTTATAACACTATACTTTGTTTTATAGTAAATTTGCAGAAAATTTTTAAAAACGAGTTAACGCTGCTGTTAGGGTGTTTCGATTACTGTACAGTATCTATGAGTGATGGTGAAATTGACATCTTTCTCTTTTCTGACTGCAATTAACAATCTCTTTCTCTCTTTTTGAAAATAGTCAAAACACCATTGTGGAGTTTTTCTTTTGCTATTTGAACAACAACAAAAAATAATAAAAAATGATGTAGCCTAGTCTCTCATTCACCACCAAATAGGTTTACCTCCGCTTTGGAGAAACACGGAAATATGAAAAAGGTCAATACTTTATTGCCATGCTCAAGTGTGGGAAAGCCACATAAAAGTATGACGTGTCTGTCTTCTAAAAGGTAAATAAACAAAATAATCTGTGTGCATCAGGGGCCCGTTTCAATAAGGAGGTTCAACCAACTCTGAGTTAAAGCTTGAACTCAGAGTTGACTTACCCTGAGATGGGAAACTCCGAGTTTTCGGTTACAGAACAGCTGAAATGAGTTAGTTCAATCAACTCTGAGAGTCTGAGTTGACTGACTCTGAGTTAAGCGCGTGCACCACAGCTATAAAAAGCCATTATCAATGGAGCGCAGATATTACGAGTCACCATGGCAACAGCGCCAGACAAAAAGAGGTGTTGGGTATAATTAATTACCAAGTAATCTAAATATTGTAATTTAATTAAAGGGATTACTCTTAATTCTTCTTTAATTTAAAATAAAATAAAATATGATGCAATTACATTAAATAGGCTACTGCATAAACTATAGACCAATTCAGTATAAAACAAGTGGATTTAGCATACATTTTTAAAAGGTATATTTTTATATAACCTTCTCCCTCTACACACTTTGATCAATTCAAGAATAATTCATGCAATTGTATATTGTTAATTTGAAAGCATTAAAAGTGCAGTTTCTTGTCTCTCCTCCTTGTATTAATCAAGTGGTTGAGGTTGATATAGGATTTAGAAATATGTAGACCAATACTTTCTAGAGATAGTAATTATTACATTAATCTAACTACACCGTTGAAGATGTCATTTGTTGTTAATAATTCATAACTATTTTAGAGTAACTGTTATAATATCAGAGGTGAAACTGGAAGAATGTTATTCAACCTAAAGTAGTCTACTATTACTTTGATACATTTTTACTTAAGTAAAAGTAAAAATACCAGTCTAAAAAATCTACTCAAGTAAAAAGTAGTTAATTTAAAACATGAGTAAAAGTTGCTGAGTAACTTGTTTAACAGCGGGGGTGGGGTGGTGGGGGACTCCCCCATGTGGGGTTGTAACATATGAGAGTTTCAGAGTATGAGAACCGTCTCAGAAAATATCACGGTTTATGGTATTAAACAGTTGTTAAATATATAAACTGCATTATTAAATTACGGTTATTATTTTCATCAGTTAAAATGACAGTTAAATAAATTAAACATTTGTTCAATAAAACATAATATCAACTAACTTCAATAATTGATTATGATTATGATTGACATCTTATTTTTTATCATGAATAACTTATTACATTTTATTACAATTTTTTCAATGATTTAATAGAAATATATTATCCAAAACAGTGGTAATCAAATAAAAGTTTAGCAAATGTTTTAATCCTTTTATTTTTTGGCAAAGTGCTGCAAAACAGATTTAGTCAATTAAACCATGGACAAACAATATATATATATATTCCTTAAAGAATGTGTAAATACATTTTAGTATTATTGTTGGTGTTTAAACAGCACTTCCTCTTTAAAAAAGGGGAGGAGACCGCAAGAAACTCTGGGTTTACTGAAGAAAACCTGCTCCCGACCAGGTTAGGTTCACAGAGTAAGTTACCATGGTAACTGACTCTGAGTATAAGTTACCTCTCTTTCAGAAACGGGCTTGACTTACTCTGCTTTCTCGGGTTTGATATACCCCCCTTTCTGAAACGGAAAACCCAGAGTTTCCCTCATTTCAGGGTTAACATACTCAGAGTTTTCACTTAACCTCCTTTCTGAAACAGGCCCCAGGTCTTTAGATATGCATCTATATCTAACATGGATGGATCTCTACCCGTCGCTGTGATATAAAACTCTCCTGTTATTAAAGTAACAATAACAGAAGAATAAAATAACGCATTTTGCGACCATGGTGCTTGGAAGGTTTCAATTTGAGCAGACATTTTGTAGCAGAGCTCCTCTGAGCTCATTTCCCAGTGATCAACACACCCGCAAAACTCATTTTTAACATCTTCCAAATCAATATTTTGATCGTTGACAGCTTCTTCACCAGATTCACCATCAGTGACAGTGACACTATTATTTGATGGCGGACGGTCAGTACTGCTCTGCAGTAAATTGCTTCACGTTTCAAGTTTTGCTGATGATACTTCCTACTCTTTTGTTTTCTACCTGCAGGAATTATGAGAGAAATGTCACTTCATCATTGTGCATCATTGCCACCTTGCCAAATAAAGGTGAAATGCACTGATTCACTCATCAAAGATTTAAATACTGTTGTGCAGAAAAAAATATATAATTACAAGGTTACACACTCAGGTCATTAGCGACCCTATACATAAAAATAAAAAAATTAAAATGGTAAAACAGGCATTATTTTATTTATTCTCATTATATTGTTTATAATTAATTGATTTATGAATACTAAGAAGGATGTCTAACTTTTAAAATTAATGAGGAGAAGGGTCGACCGTCGACGTCCCAGGTCACTAAAGAGCTGAGGCATGCGTTTAAGGGTTAAATCAAAAAGTGGGAATGAATAAGAAATATACATATATACAGTCGTGCTCAGAATTAATGGCACCCCTGGTAAATATGATAAACTGGCTGTATAAAATAATTCTGCATTGTTTATCCTTTTGATCTTCCATTCAAAAAAATTGGCAAAATTCTAACCTTTCATTGAAGCAAAAGAATTGAAAGTGGGGGTAAATCACACTATGAAATAAATGTTTTTCTCCAAAACACTCTGGCCATAATTGTTGGCACCCCTAGAATTTTTTATGAGAAAAATATCTCTGAAGTACATTCCCATTAATATTTAATTTTTTTAAGCAAATCAGGGTGACTAGGAACATGAAATTGTCTAGCTATGACTTCTTGTTTCAAGGAGTTTAAATATGAGGAAGCACAAAGGTCAAATTCCCTGAATCATCCATCACAATGAATAAAACCAAAGAACATGGTTCTGATGTGCATCAAAAGATTGTTGAGCTTCACAAAATAGAAAGTGGATGTAAGAAAATAGCTAAAGAATTGAAAATCCCCATTTTGACCATCAAGACAATAATTAAGAAGTTATAATCAACTAAAGATGTTGTGATTCTGCCAGGAAGAGGACGTGCATCTATTTTGCCTTAATGGACGGTGAGAATGAAAGTTTGAGTGTCCAAAGACTCCTCAAGGATCACAGATGGAGAATTGCAGAGATTAGTTGAGTCTTGGGGTCAGAAAACCTAAAAAAATATATATCAGACAACCCCTACATCCCCACATGTTGTTTGAGAGGGTTTCACGAAAAATGCTCCTCGCTCCTCCAAAAACAAACTCCAGCATATTCAGGTGTCAGACACGACTGGATCTTGGATCAGGGTTCTGTGGTCAGATGAAACTAAAAAAAGGGGCTTTTTGGCAGCAAACCCAGCAGATGTGTTTGGTGCAAACAGGGATGAAGAGTACCCCATGCCTACGGTTAAATATACTGCTGGATCTTGTATGTTGTGGGCCTATTTATTTGCTGGAGGTCCTGGACATCTTGTTCCGATACATGGTATAATGGATTCTATCAAATACAAAAAGATAAAAAATAAAAACCTGACGCCTTCTGCTAGAAATCGTATAATGGGCCGTGGTTGGATCTTCCATCAGGACAACGATCCAAAACAAAAATCAAAAATCAACACAAAAATTAGTTACGGAGCACAAAATGAAGCTTCTGCCATGACCGTCCCAGACCCTGACCTGATGAGTGGAGTGAACTGAAGAGATGAAGCGCCAACATGGATCTGGGAATCTGCAGGATCTGGAGAGAGTCTGTATGGAGGAATGGTCTCTGATCTCTGGTCAGGTGTTCTCCAAACTCATCAGGCATTATAGGAGAAGACTCAGATCTGTTATCTTGGCAAAAGTTTACAGATCTGAGGTTGCAAAAAGTTTTTAATAACAGGGTGCCAATAATTATGGCCAGAGTGCATTGGAGAAAAACATTTATTTCATAGTGTGATTTACCGCCACTTTCAATTCTTTTGCTTCAATGAAAGGTTAGAATTTTGCCAATTTTTTTTAATGGAAGATCAAAAGGATAAACAATGCAGAATTATTTTTTACAGCCAGTTTTCATCATATTTACCAGGGGTGCCATTAATTCTGAGCACGACTGTATATAGCCTATGTATATGTGCAGGGCTTCATGTCCGAAGCTTTAATCCATGAGTCTTTATATGAAATAGTCACATATGTACAGTCGTGTTACATGCATTTAAATCCTCACCATATTATTCTTTTTAACGTTTTGCCTCTTTATCCGTCTGTGCTCTCGTCGTCCATCTTTCTTCAGCGCAGTTGCCACGTCCTCTCTCAGGTCCCGGTCTGCCGGAGTCTTTTTCTGCAGCTCCTGACCGGTCTGCTTTAAATACTCCATGAACCCATTCACGTCATCAATGTTATGCTCTACGATCTTCCTTTTCGAGTTGGATTTCGTTCCACCTGCTCCTCGCTGGATGTGTCGACCACCGCCGCTAGTTCCTGATTCCCCAGCATTCCTGTTCGCTTTCAGCTGCTTCCATGGTGTGGCATCGGCTGCTTTGTTTTTATGGACGTTGTTTGCTCTGGCCCACCTCGTCATCTTGAGTTCTGTTAGAATGAGAGAATATGTTCATTATCAGACACTAAATCCCTCATGTTATGTTCTGGACATTTTGATCCTGATATTTTATTTTTCCCAAAAATCGCCATATTAAACGGATAGTTCACCAAAAGGAAAAATTGTGTCATTTTCTAACCCTCAAATCTGCATAAGTTCCCATTGACTTCCATAATAGGAGAAATAAATACTATGCAAGTCAATGGGTGCCGTCAACTGTCTGGTTACCAACAGTCTTCAAAATATATTCTTTTGTGTTCAGCACAAGGAAGAAATTCATACTGGTTTGGAACAACTTAAGGCTGAGTAATTTTTTCAGGTGAACCATCCCTTTAATAAACTTGAATGAACTTTTCCACTCAAAAACTGAGTTGCATAAGCTCAGACCAATGAGGCCGATGTCAATCAATTCCAAAAAGAAATACAAAACCTGTGCTAATGAAAAGAAAACAAGTTGGCAAAACCAGACAAGATATCATATAATAGGTAAATCAGTATAATTAACTAGAAAATTTTCAAAATGCACCCTGGTGACTATAGAAATGCCATGGCAATATCCTTTGGTAATGCAAATATTAAGTACGATGGTATACAACATGATGGTATCCCAGTCATAACATAAAAATTATAACACAACCATAATTAGGCTAACGTTACATCTTCAAATAGAAACGACACTATTATTACGAATAAAATTGTACTTTGTCAGAAACTATTGTCATCATGGTAACATTTTACATGTCGAATTATGAGGGATGTTACTGATGCCGCACATAATAAGAGTAAATACCATGAATAAACACAAGCAAGGAACACTTAGAACTATAATATAACCCTGGCGTTTCACAATAGTAGAACATATATTCCGGGCGGCAGCTGACGCATTGTAAAACATTCCTGCTTGATCTAAATATATCTCTTGTAACAAATAAAATAAATAACTTAATTGTGCACGCTCACCGCACAAAAAGATTTGCAGATACCAGCTGTCAGCAACAAAACACCGCTCACGTGTTTATCATTGCTGCGACCCACGAATAAAAGTATCCGGAATGAAACTACAACTCGAGCGTTATTGGTTCCGCCACTCATTGTGACCGACACCATTAAATTAATTGTCAATCATGCGCCTCAGGTGGCTGAATATTTAGCAAATCCAGCACGTGTTTGAAAGGGCACGTCTAATCGTTTCATCACTCGAGATTTCCCACTATCTAAAAGTTAGTAACTTTAGCTGTTGGAAATGCTGTGGTCCCTTTTACTGGTGTCATGGTTTTGTGAAGGTACGTTATTTTTCCATTAAGCCCACAAATCTTTCACTAGTAATATCTAGTTTACTTTAATGGTAATAGCATGTAGGCTTGTGTTTATAAGTGCATGGATTCCCTGTGAATACACCGAAGGGTCGCACTGATTTGCAGTTTGATGATGGTAAAACTATATATTTTTTATTTTTTATGAATAAATGCATTTAAAAAACGTAACCATTTATATGACATAATATATTTTATGTAACGTTACAGGTAATATTAACTCGTTGAAGAGTGGACCGCCTCCAAGTGAAACAGTGATGGGTAAGACAACAGCATGATGACCCATAAGAAGCTTTAGCCCTGACATGACCTGTCAATGTCTTCAACAGATTTTGAGGGAGACTATGCTGTACAGGAGGGGGATGTCATACTACCTGTAAGCTCAAACAATACTTTTATATCCATTATGTTGTTCTCTCTATATACCCTACAGGAGAGCATTAGGACTAGTTGTCATTTGACTCAATACACTACAAGTTAAACTTTTTTTTTTTTTTTTTTGCAAGCATTAGTAAATTGAGATTTGGGGTTATTTTGCCTGTAACATACCATATTACAAGCTAGTGGAAAGACATCCATAATACACACTTAAAGGGATAGCTCACCCAAAAATTTAATTTGTATCATTAAAAACACTTTGATGCTTCTAAAGGTTCATAAAGAAGATCATAAAACTAATTCATATGAATTGAGGGGTTTGGTAAATTTTCTGAAGAGACTTGGGTAAACTATCCTTCTAAGTGTGTGTGTGTGTTTTTGTTTTTTTGTTTTTTTTTTGTTTTTTTTGCATCTGTAGTTTGTATCTTTTAAAGGCTCAAAATTAGTTTGTTTTTTTTTTTTTCACTTCAGGAACATGTACATAGACCAATCTTGTTTTATTCCTATGTTAATGGATGGTTTTTAGATAATATTTAATTTTTTAAATATGATGTTTGTTTTTTTTAGACTGTTGACAGTATTTTCTTATTTATGGAGCGATTAAAAAAGATCTCACTGTAAAAACTGATTTTAACAAAATTAAATCTGAGTTTTGAAATAAATTTAGTTCTTTATGCTCATTTAAAGGAGTAGTTCACTTTTAAAAAAACTTTTGCTGATAATTTACTCACTCCCATGTCATCCAAGATGTCCATGTCTTTCTTTCTTCAGTCAAAAACAAATTAAGGTTTTTGATTAAAACATTCCAGGATTTTCTCCATATAATGAACTGTTTGGTTCCCATTGAAGTACAAGGTCCAAATGAGAGTTTCAGTGCAGCTTTAAATGACACCAGATGATGAATAAGGGTCATATCAAGCAAAATGATCGCTCATTTTAAAAATAAATAAAAAAGTTTAAGTTTTATAAGCACAAATGCTCGCCTTGCTCTGTTCTGTGATGCGCGTTCGTGACTCTCCTGTTCAAACTCGGTCATCAAAATGAACTAATCTTTTTTCAAGTCTAGAAGGGTCCTAGATAAGACCCTTATTCATCTTCTGGTGTCATTTAAAGCCCTCTGAAGCTTCACTGAAACTCATTTGGACCATGAACCGTTTTGTTACCGTTGAAGTCCATTATATGGAGAAAATCCTGGAATGTTTTCATCAAAAACCTTAATTTCTTTTCGACTGAAGAAAGAAAGACACGGACATTTTGGATGACATGTTTTTTTTTTTAAGTGAACTACTTCCTTTAACATTTCAGAGAACTTCCAATTGTCTTCATGTACCGTGATCATGATTAATCAACAGGGAAAGTTTGGTGCTATCTATTAGTCATCTGCTGTCTTGACTTAAACGCATGACAGCCTGCCTTGACCTGATGTTTATGCCCCACCGTTCAGACCCTCTTTTCTTTAGACTGACAGGAACGCAGTGAAGCAACTGTGGCAGGAGGTGGATGGATATATGTCAGTGCCTTATGAAATTGAATTAGCTCTTGGTGAGTTTTCTTGATCAGTGATTTTGATGCTGTAAAATCCTCTACTGTTCGTCTTTTGCACTCTAGGAAGATTTGGATTTGGCCCTAATTTTATAACGTGGGTTAAATCTTTCTGTTGAATCTTTTGATGTCATTATAAAAATGTACATGCTAGGAAAAAAAAAAAGGTTTTTTTTTTTTTTTTTTTTTTTTGCTGAGCTTATGTTTGGAATATCAGATGCTGTAGAAATATTCAGAGGAATGTTTCTTTTCTGTACATGTTTGTGGTCTTCAGAGCACAGGGTTGAGGATGTTTATAAAGCCTTAAAAATGATCTCTCAGAAGACCTGCGTCGGGTTCCATCCACGTACTAATGAAACCGACTACTTGCACTTTGAGCTCAGCAATGGGTGAGCCACAGATTTTAGTTTAAAAATGGTATTTATATGCAATTTGTAAAATAAACTTGTACTCATTTATCAGGATTTTTCGTTCTGGTATATAAAGTCTTAATTTCTGTTGTTCAATCTAGTGCTGACACTGTACGTTTAATCTTGTTTGCCGTTTCCTGAAGGTGTGCATCTTACGTCGGCTGTGTGGGGGGTGAGCAGCCTGTCCTGGTCGGCCCGCTCTGTACGGTTGGGAACATCTGCCACGAGATCCTTCATTCGCTCGGTTTTCACCACGAACATTCCCGCCGAGACCGTGATGATTATATCACTATATTTTATGAGAACATTGCTTCTGGTATGCATTTTTTTCTGTGCTTTCTAAATAGTGCTGATGGAGTTCCTTTCAGTATTTGGAATCCTAAAGGGCTCAAGTAGAATCCTCTAAAACAATATATTCTACTAGATAAACTGAAATTCAAATTTCAGGTTACCAGTAGCCTTTTATTTGACTTTTTATGATTGTTCCTTTTTATCCCATTTGGATTGGTTCTAAATTAGACTGTAATTCCATTAGCAATCATTTGTGTGTACCCTATTTTATGATATAATAGGGTCATTTAATAACTGATTTGAGTTTGTAGTCATGGATATTTATATTTTCTAGTTATTGTAATATTTAGTTGTACGTCACTTACTAGTCACAAAGATTTACTCATACTAGGGGTGTAACAATTTATCGTGCCACAATATATCGCAATTCAAAAATGCAACAATACATATCGTGGATAGTGACAATATGTATCGTGGATAGTCCCCCAAAATAAAAATTACTGCGTGAGAAGTTTTAGTGTCAGTACTACATTAAATTACAATACATAATCTTGGATATAATGCAATGGGGGAATATTTGTGGGTCCTGAAATGTGGTTATGCCAAAATTTATGTTACCAGTAAAAAGTGGCTGAAATTATTTTAAATATATCTAGTCAGTGACAGAGTGCAGGCATAATAGGCTAAAATAATTCTGCGTTTTCAGCTTCAGAATCATGAATATTGTTATTCTGGTGTCTCTATTGTCCTTGGGTTACAAGCACCAAGTCCAAACCTATTCATTTAAACCCACAATGTAATATCAAAGTTAGCATTTTAATCAACAGTACATTTTTTTGGTAAACTTTTACCAGATGTCTTGGAGTGTCGCAATAATATCGTATCGTGATATGTATCGAATCGTGACATGAGGGTATCGTTACACCCCTAATTCATACTAAAACAAATAAATGTGTATATGAGCTCACAGTAAAGGTGGTAGAGTAATTAATGCATTGGTTGTATGCAACGCTTTGTATTTTACAGGGAAACAGGACAATTTTAGGGAGAAGGCAGGGAAGACCCTCGGTCTGGAGTATGACCTGGAATCAATTTTGCATTATGGACCGTAGGTGTTCGTCAAAACGTAACCCTGAAATGGCTTGAATGGATATTTGGGTGCGTAACGTCATGTGTGTTTGGCTGGCCAAACTTGTTTTGCAGGAATTATTTCTCTCGCAATGGAAAACCTACGATTCTGCCCAAAAAGAGCGGGGTAAAGATCGGTCAGAGGTCTCGCTTGAGTAATCTGGATGTGCAAAGGGTCCGGAAGCTGTACCAATGTGGTACGTCTTAGTATGTGCTTTTACCATATGCTGAGAAATGTATAGGATTGGATGAAGAAACGCATGCAGACCTAAAAATGATGTGCTGTTATTGACCTGGTGAGGAGAGGAAGTGAACTGGATTGATGGCAGTAGCTCTAAAAGCGTAGTGAGGTTATTTTGTTCTTGCCAATGTACTGGCGTTTGAGAGTTGGAGCGGCTCTTCTTGAATTAATTGTCTTTCTCCATTTCAGGCAAGAGACAAAAGTACGGAGAGACCCTATGATGCATCCAACCGCTCTGTTTCACTTTGTTCAATGGTCATTTGTTGATCACTGAGGAATTCTGAATCTAAGAGGACAAATAAAGGTTTGAAAATCAAAATATGGCTTATTGTGAATTTGTCAGTTATATTAAAGTCAATTCGTTAACCAGTCCTCCAGTTCACAATTCTTAATCTTAAAGTCAATGAAAGTCGTCATCATTCAAGTTGTTCCAAGTGTTTGTTTCTTCTGTTGAACACATCACATATTTTAAAGTATGTTGGTAATTAAAAAGTTGACGGTAGCCGTGACTTCCAAGAAAAAAGTCAATGCTGTCGTCCACTGTTTGGTTACCAACATGTTTTTAAATGTCATCTTTTGTGTTGAACAGAAGAAACAACTTGAGGGTGGTGAGTAAATGACAGAATTCATATTTTTATTTTTGGGGAGTGAACTAACATTTCTAAGTTTTGTCCAGTAGGTGGCAGTCACTGTTCACTCTTTTTGTGCCTTTTTTGTAGGATATTTGTGAATGTTGCAAAAAGTATACTCGTGCTTTTTGTGTGAACTCAAATTCACGTCACACAAAACAAACATTTCACATAAAATGAGTTACTTTCAGCAGTATATTAATCACAATCCCATTTCATTGCTGGAGAGATGAATGTTGCAGTCTGATATCGTCTTTTTTTTTTTTTATACAATCACCAGTTATTCTAGTAAATTGTATTATTTCTACCTTTAATTTAGGCCTTGCAAATACCTGAAAGGATTTTGGAGAAGACATTTCACAAATTACTCATAGATCATAGACATGTCACTCATCTACATGTCTAAACCCTGCCTCGCATTTTAAAGTTTTCAATTTGAGACACTTAATGTATGAGACTCGATGTGAAAAATGATGAAGTATCATAATAGGATAGGAGTGTAAAGCTGTGCTTCGATCTAAGGAGGAGTAATTCTCTGACGTGACATCACGGCGAGGTAATCTTCCTGACGTCATGGCGGGGGACACAGAGAGGCGCGCGCTCAGTTAGAAGACAGTTCATTCCAGTGACCGATGTGCAAAGACTCAAAGTTCTATGAACCTTCAAGGAAACTACATTGATAAATGAATAGAACGGCTTTCTTTTCATTTCGTTGACAATGAGTCTGTTTTAAAATATTAAACAACTATTTGAAGTCTTAAAGACAGGAGCTTTCCCTCGTGGATTTTTCCCCCTCTGACATGGAAATGTTTATGCTTACGTCGTCTTTCTTAATGTTCGGTAATTGAAGAAGTTGTTTTGGCTTGGCTGGTGCGCGCGCGTTTGGAGATGGTGAGCCTTTTCACGCATTGCGAGTCTTTCAGAGCTTTTCGAACGAACAAAACCCCACGGAACTACCATGTTTGAATCCGTATTACATTTCTATCTTATGAAAATTCAGTTCCTTCGCTTTTACTGCCTGAAAATGTGTGTTTTTGAGGCGCTAGTGTCCGCGCGCATCTCCAAGCGCCCCATTTTTGGACTGGAATGAGATCGGCACACGAGACTGGTGTAGTTTGGGTGACTTTCCGTGCCTAAAAGCTGTTTGGCTTATGCTGCGGTAAGTTCATGCCGTGTTTTTATTTATTTATTATTATTAATAATGACAGGTTTTTGTAGTTTTAATTTTTTAGTCATAATTTTTGCCTCTGTAATTTTGCAGATTTTTTGTCTGCACGACCCCCTTTTAGTGTAAATGCAGATTTTTATTCAAGTTTTTCTTTTCTCTTGAGATCTGCCAAAGGAAGTACCTGGAGGATGTCATACCCTGCTATAAAGACACATTTCACTTTCAAAAGTTTTCTAAAAGAAAGTTAGTTCTTGGAAGGGTTACGCTCGGATACAAGTCTTCGTCAAAGACTACTTTTTACTTCTCCCCTGTCTAGCCTGGAACTTCAATATGACATCTACGAGTGTTGTAGTTCAAAGGACCAGTAGCTCATCAACTACTTTGGGAGTAAAAGAGAACAGCAGTTCATGCAATCCCAATTCTTGTTATTCTCCTGAAGCCACAGCCGCATTTGCCACCGCAATGACGCTCATCATGCTCTTCACCATCTTTGGTAACATCCTAGTCATCATCGCTGTCCTGACGTGCCGCTCTTTGCGAGGACCTCAGAACCTTTTCCTGGTGTCCCTGGCTGCGGCAGACATCCTGGTGGCCACCTTGATCATCCCCTTCTCCCTGGCCAATGAGCTAATGGGCTTCTGGTACTTTGAATCGTTTTGGTGCGAGATCATCTTGGCGCTGGATGTGCTCTTCTGCACGTCTTCCATCATGCACCTGTGCGCCATCAGCCTGGACCGCTACCTGTCCATCTCCCGGCCGGTGCAGTACGCCACTCAGCGCACCCCTCGCAAGATCAAGTGCGCCATCGTGGTGGTGTGGCTCATTTCCGCCGTCATCTCTTTCCCCCCACTGGTCTCCATGAGTAAGACCCCAGAGCAGAAGGATGGGGGCTGCCCACAGTGCAAACTCAATGATGATTTATGGTACATCCTGTACTCCTCCATCGGCTCATTCTTTGCCCCGTGCCTCATTATGATCCTGGTGTACATTCGCATCTATCAGATTGCCAAGAAGCACACTCGATGTCCTCCAGGAGAGCCAAGAAAACACGTCTCATTGGGAGTGGCGGTGCCGAGCGGCAAAGACCAAGGAGGTGTTGACCCTGCGAATGTTCCCAATCTGGCTGCTTCCAGACCTGAAGCTGTAGACCAACCTCAGCCTCCAGTAGAAATTCGAAAGCAGACGAAACGCTCAAAGAGGTGCAAGGACGAGGACAGCTCAAGCTCTGGCTCGGACGTTGAGGTAGTAAGGGGACATAATGCTAACGGGACGACCTCCAATGTGGGCACGCTGGAGCCCGGCCACCAGACTACCTCACCAGCCCGAACTTACCAGAACGTCATCGCTACGTCTAAGGGCAGCCAGCTGGCCTCTTCCAACGTGAAGCCGGCGGGAACTCCGAACACCAAGAGGAAAGCCATGATCGTCCGCGAGAAGCGTTTCACCTTCGTCCTCGCGGTCGTCATTGGGGTTTTTGTCTTCTGCTGGTTCCCCTTCTTCTTCACCTACATCTTGCAAGCCGTTTGTGAGGCTTGTAAACTGCCGGACGCGCTTTTTAAGTTCTTTTTCTGGATAGGCTACTGCAACAGCGCCCTGAACCCGCTCATCTACACCATCTTTAACAGGGACTTCCGTAAAGCCTTCAAAAAGATTCTGTTTAAAAAGTGTAAGGGCTGTTTCTGAAAGCGAACCCCCCTGGAAGGCAGTTAAAGTGCAGTGAAGTGGTGAAGACAAACTGTCCGGGTCATATTTCACCCCAACTGTTTCAAAAATAATGGAAATGTAAAGGTGTTTCTGGCCTAATTCTGTTTTCTGAAAGGTTTCCTTTTTGAGTTATTACAGTAATTAAAATATATATAACAAATAAACTTTTTATTTTAACAATTAATGAAATAAGTTTATTTCTTGTGCAATTTCTTCTTTTTATTGTTTTATCGTACGAATTTTACGAGGTGGCTAATTCGTAACAATTCATACGACCTCACTCGTACAAATTAGAACGATTTTGCTAAATTGTACATATTTTACGAATTGGTCAATTCGTACGAGTGAGGTCGTACGAATTAGCCACTTTTTAATCACTCGTACGAATTGGGCGTGAGATGGGGTAGTGTTACCACAGATGTAGTTTCTGCAAAGATAATTTGACTTGTTTTCTTGTCAACAAAAACTATAGCCAGTCAGAAATCCTTTTTGTGTGTGTAAATCAATTAGCATGTTCATGATTATCTTGAGTCTTTATAAATGTCTTTGGAAAGTGAGCATATGGAATGTTAGTTATTTATGTCCTTTAGTTGTCATGTCGATGTCATAAAGCAAAAATGCGGGACTATTAAGAAAAACCCCTTGTTCCTCTTGATTTTGGGGTGAAATATGACTTGTATATCCGCATGCATTCCATTCGTTTTGGCATTTTATCAGCTGAGGTGCCGCATCAAACATGAGGGACTCACACGATTGTGACGGTGTCTCTTTCTGGAAACTTGCTGGCCTCCAGGCGGTTGGTTGTGACCTTTCCAGTGTATGTTCAAAGACAATGTGGCTCTTTCTTGGAGACACCTCTGGCTCCGCTGCCTTTCAGAGAGCTTCACCTCTCTGGGTTGAAAAAAAAAAGCTCTTAAAACCCAAGAGAGGGTTCATTCTCTGGGGTGAGAGGAAAATAAAGCAAATGCATGAGCAAGATGTATGGCTTTATCTAGCTTTAACATCTGTAACAATCTGAACATCCGCTGTTTTTATTAAAAGCATGGTCTTGACTTGTATGATGTTTTTGGATTTCCTGGATAAGAGTCCTCTTGGTCTCTAGCATTGGTTAATTTGATGGATTCTGATTGAAAGTAATGGACGTTGTGTCTGCTGTTTGATGCTCTGGGCTATCAGAACCTCTCCCAGTGTTTATGATTTATGGTTTTTATGATTATGTAAATGATTTGTGCACTGATTAATGCCTCCTGATATGACTTTTATTATTTTTGTGCTGTGATTAGAAGGCTTTTGCGTTTTCATTTAGCTTCTAAATGATATCCGTGAGTGTGAGAGCTTGGCATGTACCAGCATTTCTTTGACAATAAAACTGCTTCTCCAAATTTGGTTTTATTAAATGTCCTGCTGAAATTAGCTGTTCTTGTATATGTGTTTGTGAAAATAAATGAGTCGTCTACATATTTTACAGACTAATTTTCGGCGACATTGTGTGCAAGTTGCTAATGTATCCTCGCTGATTGTTTTCAAAAATTCACGACAGCTGTGTGGGAAGTTTTGCTGGCTGTCTATTGTGTGGCTGGATTTGACTATGACAGCCAGTGATGTTAGGCAGTGAATCTGAGTTTTTTTCTTTGATTTACTTTATTGTTGTCTATTCGATTTCTTGGAACCAGCATCTGTCATAATCCAGAGTGCCTCTATCACACATATAGTTTATATTTGGCTGTTATTTAATGTTGCTCATAAACTGGGTGAATTATACTTTTTTTTTTCTCATTGATAGACATGGGACTATCAGTTGTAACTGTTTTTTCAGTTTATACAGTTAAATTAATACATTTAATAAATAATTACATTTTAATAGAAATAATTTTGAGTTATAAATGTGACTGTGTGTGTACTGTGTATAATTATTTTGTATAGAAATACACACACATGCATCTATATATATTTAAGAAACATTTGCATGTATATACTCTAAATATATTTATATATAATTCTATTTATATATATAAAATAATTATACACAGTACACATATATTATGTAAACACAAACTTTTATTTTGGATGCGATTAATTGTTTGACAGCCCTAATATATATATTATATATATATATATATATATATATATATATATATAGACCATTTCACAAGATGTAAACAACACTGGTCCAGAAGCACTTCCTGTTTCAGTTTTTTAACACTACATAAAAGCTGGGATAAAATACAACCAACAGAAAATTTAAAACTGAATTAAAAAGTTAAACAAACATCTTTAAGATGTTTTCTTTACATGTGAAATAAAGAAAACTGGACCAGTCTTGTTTACATCTTGTGAAATGGTCTATATATATATATATATATATATATATATATATATATATATATATATATATATATATATATATATATAAATCGCATTCCGTTCAGGAAATTATTAAACACTTTAATTATTAAAGTTAAACATATATGATAGAGTGACTATATGGAATGATATTTGAATATGTGGAATGAGAGTGTGAAATAGTGGAATGATATTTGAATATTATGCAATGAGAGCGTGAATATATTTAATGAAAATTGAATACATAGCAGGGATATTCAATTAAAGTTTCAATAGGTACTGTCTCTATATTACCTTCTCAGAAGAGATCCGGGCCATACATTTTTTTATTGTATTTTTTTGGAACAGTTATGAATTTCCATTATATGGCAGAAGTAGTAGGCCTACATTGTAAAAGAAAAAACTTAAGTGCTCAAAATATTCATCAAAGATGAAAATCTTGGGCCCGATAGCCAAAGTAGTGATGTCATAGAATTGTTACCAATATAAAATAGTGAGGAGGCGGGGCTGACGGCGTTGCTGATTATGACAATCTTTTGAAAACTCTGATTGGTTGGTTGTCCAAAAGGAGGTAAAGAGCGATTTAGTATAGGGTCTATTCTAAGCCTTCACTTTGGAATTACATGCGTAATTTTTCCTATTTGACCGTTCAGTCTGTGTTGTATTATTTTTATGTTATCACTGTGAAGCTGCTTTGATACAATATGTATTAAGCGCTATATAAATAAAGGTGACTTGACTATTTAAGGACATTCCTATTTCGAATTTGTCATTGTGTATTGTCAACAAATGCATAAACATTCTGCATTCCATGTTATAGTGTGGATCACTCTTGAGACATTTAAACTGATTCTCATGTTAAAGAATCTGTTATCTGATCAAATAGGCCTACTTCATGCTACTGACCATATGCTTTTAAAGCTATGTTGTCCATTTCTTTTTTGGGGGCCTTCAAAACACCTTAAAATGGACATGTCGAGATCAGGAAAACCAAAATTTTCTTGGGGGGGCATACCCCCAAACGCCCCTAGCAAGATAATTTTGTACAACCTTTATTTAGAAAACCCCTGTACAGCCCTGCTTGTCAGTGTGATCAAACAACAAACTGACAAAGAAATTAGCCCTGATTCTTTTAAATCAACATAACCAACCAATATTTTCAAACATGTTCACTTTCATACATTTTCCGCGGGTGAAATCCATTGCCTGATTTGTAAAGTATTTCTCTCTGTTTAAATAAATTGCACCAAGTGGAAAAAGAGCCTCTTTGGTGTAAAAACACATTAAGTCATTTTACAGAGCGATTTTGAATGATGACTATTCACCATAAATAAGGGCTCCCCCTCCCTAAGCCAATTTAACCACTGCATATATATATATTATATACCCTATATAGGTGCTATAGGTGTATAGGTGCGTCGATGCACTTGGGGGAAATTGTTTTGAAAACGTCCAATGTTGTAAAATGGCAACCAGAATGATTCGCCCATACATGTTCGACCCATGTCCGTGTGTTGCACAATTCCTGTCAGATCCAATATAGATGGCACAGCACCGTTCTTTACTCTTAATCGGTCTGCAAATCCAGTCTTGTTTACAAAACAATCCTCAGTGAAATGAAGCGAACAGACGGACGATGTTTTACCTCATCATCAGCTGGAACGTCATTAAAAATACATTTTATCCATGCAGTCCTATTGGAATCCAGAGGAAGCTTATGCAGCGACTGTCTTCTTCCACAACCAGGACAATATTTACTGCACAATATTTTGTATTGCTCGGTAGCAATTTGTCATCACAAGGTAGGCATCTATGTTATTTAGCTATGCGTGTAATGCGTGAATCGGTGGGCGGGGCTAAACCGGCCTGTTGAAGTAGGCGTTGATCTTTTTCTGCGGGGGTGGTGTTTTATCCTCTTTGACGTCATAGTTCCCCACTTTGAAAAACGAGTCGTATCTGGTGTCAATAAAAGCTTTTATTGGACTAACAAGGACGTTTTCATTTCTGAAACTTACAGGATATTCTTATAATATGATGACCTCTAAGTAAGTTGAAATAAGTTCAACTTTTAAAAGACATGTCTCAAGATCTTGCACCTTTCTTCAATTCCACTGCCAGCGTATCAGTTTTCAAAGCAAAAGTGCTTTCTGTGTGAACTATCTCATCCATGTCTTTATGGACCTTGCGTTGTGCACTTGTGCACAGTCATGCTGGAACAGGAAAGGGGCCATTCCCAAACTGTTTCCACAAAGTTGGGAGCATGAAATTGTCCAAAATGTCTTGGTATGCTGAAGAATTAAGAGTTGCTTTCACTGGAACTGAGGGGCCAAGCCCAACCCTGAAAAAACAACCCCACACCATAATCCCCCCTCCACCTTACTTTGGGAACCACATGTTCATTTTCTTGTATTTGAGGCGTGGTTTACGAATGCCCATGTTTATTGGGTGCTAAGAATGTCTATCAAATGCGCCTGTACGTAGCTCATAGCCAATTGTTTCAATTATACCAGACGACGTATGTATAGCGACCGAAATTAGACGATGGGTGGCATGATGGCGTCGATGGTGTGGATTTATGTCTACCCGATGGCTTGTATCTAATGGTTCTGTCCCCGGTTCTGTCCCTCCCCATTCTGTGATTGGTTCCCTTGATGAGGCGAAAATTTGGTCCATGGTATCCAGACTGCCTAGCAGCATGAATAAAATTGCACTGTGGCAAGGTAGTATGGGTGTAGTAGTACTACCACTTAGTGGCTGAGTTGCTGTTGTTCCCAATTCCACTTTGTTATAATACCCCTAACAGTTGACCGTGGTTTAGTAGTGAGGACATTTTACGCACAGGTGGCAATCTATCACGAGAC